CTGTTCCTTCTGGCCTCCTTTCTCCGGCTGCTGTCCGGGGAAAAAGGTAGAAAACGGAGTCAAGAAGACATCGTTTTGCAGCCTCAGTGCTGTAACCACGTACACTGTCAAGTCTGCCCTTGCTTCCTGTTGGCGTCCACCTGCAAATTTTACCAATAAAGTCGATGTTTATTTGAGGCTAAAAAAAAAAGAAGACATCGTTAAAAAGAGCGATTCACTCGTTTAACCAAATCCACGAGGCAAACCCCTTGGCATGAACCAATGCACCTCTTCCGAAGCCTGTAGGACAAAGGAGCATTGCCGCCTAGGGCTTTCTGTCAGTATCAAGTGGAGGACAGTGAGTTTGGAGTTCTGGTTTATGACAGCGGATTGCCACACCTGTCTTCCATGGAGTGCCTTGTGGGTTTGAACTGCCTGCCTTTTGGTTAGCATCTAAGAGCTTCGATAAAACAACCTACTTCTTTTAAGGGGACAGCAATACTTTTGTTCTGCAAACCAAACCCACTACCATCAAGTCAATGCTGACTCCCCTGTGGGTTTCCAAGACTCTTTACAGGCATAGAAAACCCAGTCTTTCACCTTTGGTGGTTTGGAACTACTGACCGTGTGAATTGCAGCCCAATGTATAACCACTACGCCACCAGGGCTCCTTCGTACTGAATTGTTTGTCATGCTGGTCTTTAAGTTTGCTTAGGTCAGCCTGGACGGAGTAAAGGACAAGTTTGGAGTTAAATCTTTCCTTTCTTGGAAGGGAACTCCTGAGAAATTCAAGCCATCCACCTGCCAGGGCTGCCAGGATGTGGACGGTGAGTGAGGATTTCTCCAAGGAAGACAGCAGGAGAGGGTTGTTGTCATTAGGCAGTGTGTCTTATAGTAGACAGGAGCTGTATTGCCAAGCTCCTTATAATAAATAGGAGTTGTATTGTCAGGCTTCTTCATCTCATTTGATGGATAAAAAAAAAAGGTTACTCTGTTGGCAGCGATGGGAACCACCCCAGCTCCTTGCTGTCGACACTAGCAAGACTCTTCCTGGTCACATGTCCCAAGAACGTGACTCATGATAACCTGTCCTTGGTTCTAAGGCATTTTCTGGCCGTACCTCCTCCCAAGACGAATATGTTTGTTTTTCTGGCAGTCCACGGTACCCCCAATGTCCTTCATCAGCCCCCTAACACAAACGCATCGATTCTTCTTCAGTCTTTTTATTCAATGCCCAACTTTCGCATGCACTTGAGACCATGGAAAACATCATGGCCGGGTCCGCCGCACACTAGTCTTTCCTCTGACAGTCTTGCTCTTCAACACCGTAGACAGGTCTTGGGCAGCGACTTACCCAGTGCAGAGTGTCCTTAGACTTCTTCACTGCTGCTTCCCTGAGTGGCGATTGTGGATCCACACAACATGAAATCCTAGACACCTTCCATCTTGTCTGCATGCATCGTGCCATTACCTGTTGGTCGGGTGTGGGGACTTCTGTCCTCTTTGTGTTGGGTTGCATTCCACAACGAAGGCTGCAGTTCTTAATGGTCATCAGCAATGCGTCCAGCCCTCTTCCACTTCAGCAAATAAAGTTGTGTCATCTGCATATCGCAGATTAATCAACCGTCCTCCGATCCTGATACTGCATTCTTCCTCATTTAACCCAGCGTCTCTCTTTATTTGCTCAGCATACAGGCTGAATAAATACGGTGAGAGGATACAACCCTGACACAACCTCTCCTGAGTTTAAACTGTGCAGAATATCCCCTTGTTCTGTTCAGACGACTGCCTCTTGGTCCGTGTACAGGTTCCGCAGGAGCGCAATGGCGTGTTCTGGAATTCCCATTCTTCTCGGTGTTATCCATGGTTTGTTGGATTCCACACAGCCAAATGTCTTTGCACAGTGTGAACTCGAGTGAAGGGAAAGACCAACATAGCCAACAAAAAGGAGATGGGGAAAAAGAAAGAAAGAAAGGAAGAAAGAAAGAAAATGATGGGAGCCAGACAAGACATTGAAGGGCTTGATGAGTTATTTAATATAAAACTGAGCATCTGATTTTTAAACATTCACCTAATTCACAACAAATCTTTTAAAACATTTATCTTATCCATCTCTGATAGGGTGAACGTTTCGCATGGATAATACATGAATTGGGGGAGGGGGGGGCAGAGTGTGTGAGATTACAGAGTTAATTGCCCAAAATGTATGTTGAAATCCTAACCCCTGTAGGGTAGATGTAATCCTGTTCGAAAAGAGTTTATCGTTGTTATTCTTTTTATTTGTCAGGTTAATTAGAGGATAGGCAAATTAGAGGAGGGAGGGGTTTCTAAATCTAATCACTTCTAGTTACCAAAAGAGGAGGACAGATGCCATTTGAGAATCGTCCATGAAGGGATGCCGGAAACTACCTTTGAGGCAGGCATCATCACAGCCAAGACCGTGATTTGGACGTTGGCCCCCAGAGCTGCCAGAATGAATGTCTGTTATTGAAAGTCACCCACATTAGGGTTTCTGCTATGGCAGCACTAGGTCATTAAAACCGCATTCCTCTGTTTCATGATAATCCTACAGTTAAAAACAACATCAACAAAACCCACTTCATTGTCTTCCCTGAGGCAGGTGTGAACAGGTAAAGAAGAGTAGGTAGCAAGCAGGAAAGCCACTTGTTGTTCCTGAAGGGTGAAGCTTGCTTGGGTGAGTGGTGATCCTAGTGGTACCAACTGAAGCAAGTACAATCTTCCCCCTTCTCTTGGGTCTATAAGAGCTGAGGCTATGTAGGAACCCACTGATGAGCCCCTGAAGCTGGTTCCCTAGTGTCAACCTACTGTTGAATTATTCTATTGGGAGGTGGCAGCTGCCCAAACAGCCCTGCTTTCTTCTGGCCTGCCGCCTAGAATAGATGATGTCATCTTTCACTTGAAGCCTCTTGCATTACAAAACGGCACTGAGAGCCTTTGCTTGATTTTGGAGGGCTGGCCGATGGTCCAGGGAGGCTGAGGGAGCTGTCTAGGACTGTCTGGAACTGAATCCACACTGGGGAGGCAAGCACTAGTCACTCATGTGACCGTAAGGGCTATTGTTCATATCCAGAGTTCCTTAACTCAAAACTCAGGATACCAGACTGTTATGGATTGAATTGTGTTCCCCACCCCCACCAAAAAATACATATGTCAATTTCAGCAGGTCATGACTTTTAGTATTATGTGATTATCCTCCATCTTGTAATCTGGTGTGATTATCCTATGTGTGATAAATCCTAACCTTTGTGTTGTTAATAAGGCAAGATGAGAAGCACTTATGTTAATGAGGCAAGATGGCACCTTCAGAGTTAAGTTTGTTTTGAGTCCATTTCTTCTGAGATACAGAAGAGATGAAACAAGTAAGCAGAGATCAGAATAAAACCACTACTAGCAGAAAAGGAGAACTGGGAGCAGAGCGTGTCCTTTGGCTCCAAGGTCCTGTGTGCTGTAAACCTCCTAGACCCGAGAGAAATTGACGCCTTGACCCATGGAGAGCTCAGACAACACTGGGCCCACAAATGCTGAAAAGAGACTAGGGTTTTCCTCCTGGACTATCGCCAACAGAGAGGGAAAGTGAGCCCCTAGAGCTGCTGCCTGCATTTGGGCTGCTAGCCTCCTCCACTGTTTGCTAAGAACAAATCTGTTTGCTAAGGACATTTACTTATATTAGAAATATTAGAAACACGGCTAAGATACAGATCTAGCTAGAGACCACCAACGAAATAATTCTCTAAGACCCCAGATCTTGAATGGGGGCAAGGAAGAGATCATCATGAGTTGGGGGGCGGGGGGGCTGCCGGGGTGAGGACAACTTGCAGAGAGAACCGAGGAAAGGAAAGAAGTGGATGAGCTCCGGGCATGGAATGCGTTTGAGGTGACCAAAGCTCTGTCACTCAGCAGCACTAGCTTCCTTGGCTATTGCTTCATAGGAGGTTAAGAAAGCACGGAGGACCCAACTTCCCTCTCCATCATCGGCTTAGTGTAACCACATACAAGTTACTGAACATCTGGGAACTTCAGCTTTAGCATTTCTGAGGAAGGTTATCAAAATGTTTATCTTGGATGCTTTATATTGTATGAGAATTAAGCAAGACTCTTCAGTCATTCACTCATTATTTATTCATTCTAAAAACACTCACTGAAGGTTCATTCTATGCCAGGTATTGATGTATCTAATGCTGAACTCATGGTTCAGCAATGAACAAAACACAAAAGTCCCTAAAACTCCTGGCCTGCCTGGAGCTGCACCGTCTATCCCCATGACAGTAAACACCCACATAAACGAAGACTGTGGTCTGTCAGCTACTAATGCGGGATCCGGTAGGAAGGAAAGCAAAAGGAGGAAACTTTCGTTTTGAAGTGTGGGGGCTGAGACCTGAAAGGTGTGAGACAAGGTATGCAGAAGCAGACTTTCAAGAACAGGAACAGGAATGTTGCATCATTACCATCAGAGCAACTGTTATAAATTATAATTCTTGGTTGCCTCCCAAAAGCAACGAAGAGAGAACTGGTAGCGCTCGCTCAAAGCACTAACATTGATACAATGCTAATGCTAACTACACCAATTCACCTTTGCTGAGCCGCCACCCCTACCCACACAGTCCAAGACATAGCACCTGACCCCAGGAGAATAACTCTTGCAACTACTTGCTGTAGGCAAGATTCTCTGAAACTCAGATTGCTTTTTAGATGAAGAAAAGCTATAGTCAAACTTACATATTGCAGGTTACTCACTTTCAGGTAAGTCTCTTTCCAGAAGCTTCCAAGACTAATATGAAACAGTATTTAGAGAAGTCAAAGAGAGGGTTTTTTGGTATATCTGAAATAATTTTTTCTCTGCTTGTGCTAAATCTGACCTTGACTGAGCAGATCATTCGACATTTCACTGGGTCTTTATTTTACATTTATTTGATTGCTTATAAAACAATGCGACTGTGCTGTTATCTAGGGCCCCTCAGAGTAATACTAAACGTATGCATGACTCAGTGTTAGTTACTTACTCAATGGAGACAACGACGGCATTCAATTCCTCGGCCATTGCTGTACATAATTCATCATAATAGCTGATTTCTAAAAGACACAAAGGCATGATCGATATAAAGCAGGTCACTTAATACTCTTTACTCTTAAGTTCTGCTAATCATTCATTATTTTTAGACCTGGCGTTGTTATTCCCAGAAAAAACTTGGCTTTCTACTCCCTTAAACAATTAGTCTCAGTAACATTGACATGACAGCAGTGAGTTTGGTTTGAGTTAAGTTATTCATAATAAAAACAAATGATAAAGATCAAATATGAACAACTGCCTGATTAATAGAGTTACACCATAGAGACAGTGGTATACTTAGTAGTTTCTTAGGGTTATGGCAAGGGAAGTTGGAATATGGGGAGCTAATAATAATGAGCACAAGAAAGGAGAAAATGTTCTAAAATCGATTGTGGTGATGACTGCACAATCCTTCTTAACATGTTTACATCATTTCATTGTATCTGTGAATTATATGTCATTAAAACTGTTAAAATTTTAAATTAATAGCTACATGTAAATATGCAAAAATTAAATCTTGTTCAGATCAAATGTAACTATTTAAAAGTAACTGGAAATGCTTATTAGATTACTTCTAAAGATGTTATTAAATAACGACATTTATTTCACAATGCATTATGTAGAATGAACCAAATAAGCCTGATTTGGTATCTGAAAAAAATATAGAAAACAGGCAGCTTCTTCATTATAAATATAAAAGTTTACTGTTTTAACATCCCATATTTACTGTCATTTAAGAAAGTCGCCAAAACAAAGTGCTTAAAGAAAAAAAAGAAAAGTCACCAATGTGAAGAATATGATATTGTATTCAAGCCAATAGATAGCAAATTAGAATTTTGGACACTTGGCATTCCTAGAAAGACTACCCAAAGGTTTGCATCAACAGAAATAATTTTAATATGTAAAAATTGAATCCCTTTTTTGTTCATTCAATAAATTTGAGAGCTGGATTAGGCTAACAGAAAACCAGCTATTTCCTCGCTTATAGACCTTGTGAGACAGTTCTAGAACCAAATATTTAATAATTCCATAGCTACTGCCATACTACAGCAGCCTCTGGTTGGAGTGCTAACAAAAATGTGTGGCAATTCCGCTGTCCTCCACTGCTCTGTCCTAGCTGGAAAGCATGCAGTGCTACACACTTCCTTTCTCTAGAGGACAAGTTCTGTCTCACTTCTTTCTCCTTGCCTCCTGTCATGGATTGAATTGTGCACACACACACACACACAAACACACACACAAAGTGTGTCCGTTTGGCTAGGCGATGGGTCTCCATACTATGCAATTACCATCCACTTTGTGATCTGGTATAATGAAGTGTTGTCCATCCTAACCACTATGATGTTGCACCCTATATAAGGTCACTGTGAGCCAAAATCTACTCAATGGCAATGTGTTTGGTTCAGTTTGGGTTTGATATGAAGGAGTCAGGATGAGATGGACCTATGTTAATAAGGTAGAACACAATCTACAAGATTAGATGCATCTTGGGTCCATCTCTTTTGAAACACAAACGAGATCAAACAAGTGAGTCGATTCGACCTCAGAGGGACCTCAGAATCTCCCAGAAAGAAGACCCAGAGTGGAATTCGTGCCAAGCCCCATGGAGATTTCCAAGGAACACGGAGCCAACATATGTGGCCAGATGACCAGGACCGTGACAGAAAGCTTTGTCCTAGAGCTGGTGGCCTGAATTTGGACTTCTAGCCTCCTGAATAAGTGTGTTTGTTAAAGCCGTCTGCTTGTCATATTTCTCCTCCAGCAGCACCAGATCCCTAAGATGCCATGTAAAGCCCAGTAAGGGGACCAACGGACCAGGTTTGCCCGGGGTGTTTACATGTTTGCACTGAGAGTCCTGTACCTCAGGAAACCCCTCAGTCCTGAGAACACCTATGTTACTTGGTGAACATCTACTGACATCATGAACAATTCAGTTAAGGAAAAAGTACATGATACTTGTACATTATGAATATGGAACTAAATAAAATGAGATGAATAGAAATGGTTATGCTTTTTGACCTTGCCTGCAATAATAACAATTTTTAAAATCATAGAATGATTAAACAATCAAAATAAGTGGCTATTGCTTTTTATTGATTTATTTTTTTTAATCATTTTATTAGGGGCTCATACAACTCTTATCACAATCCATACATACATCAATTGTGTAAAGCACATTTGTACATTCATTG